TTCACAACCACCATTACTTTGAAATTGCAGTATTAATGACATCCACCACTAGATCGTGCAATAAGTGTTTTAATTAAAAAATTTGTAAATTTTATATTGGAGTATAGTTGATTTACAATGTTGTGTTAACTTCAGGTGTACAGCAAAGTGATTCATTTATACAAATACATATATCCATTCTTTTTTAGATTCTTGTCCTCTATAGGTTATTACAGAATACTGAGAAGAGTTCCCTGTGCTATACAGTAGGTCCTTGTTGATAACCTATTTTATATACAGTAGTGTATATATGTTAATCTCAAACTCCTAATTTATCACTCCCCCATAAGCGTTAATAAAGGATCATATATAATACGATGTCACAATTGTGTTCTTTAAAAATATTTTGATAACCACAATTTTAATAAATTTGTTTCCTTCAAAATCTGATGCATTTTATTTCAAGCATTTGAAAACATCATTCTGAGAAGTGCTCCATGGCTAGATCCAAAGGTATCCATGACAAGACAGACGTGAGGAGCCCTGTGCATTGATTAAATCCTCCAGTGACCCCCATGAGCAGGTATTATTACCAGCATGTTACAGAGGGGGATGTGAGGCACAGAGAGGTTGTACGGTTTGCTTAAGGTCACGCAGATATCAAGTTGTAGTGCCTTATCTAATCTGAGAGCTGTGTTTACAGCCTATGGTCTGCTGTGGGCTGCTTCTCTGTGTTGTGCTTATGCATGTGAATGTCCCTAGGCAGGTATCATGCGTGTGGTTGTATGGATCTCCGTTTCTGTACGTGGGTGTGTGTAATGCATATAGAAAAGGGAACCACAAACACCTGTCCACTCGGGGGGTTCTGTCTGACTTCTGGGATCACTTGGATTAATTGCATCTCCACATCCCTTGGGCCCTGGAAACCGAAGGGCTGGGTTGGGGGAGGACAGTGCGGCCAGGCCCGGGGGAAGGGGCAGCAGGTGAAGGTGGGGTAGGAGGGCAAGCATAACGCCAGGGCTCAGCCTCTGGCCTGGGTCTAGACATGTAACCTGGGCACAGCCTGGGGGGAGGGGAATTTGGAGGAAAGCGGAGGCAGTTCCCATAGTGAGCCCTTCTCTTGGGCACCTGTGACCGAAGGCTATCTGGGACCACAGTCCCTGTGCCAGGCTGCCTGTGGGGAGTGGCAGTGCTGTTGGGAACTGTAAAGGAAAACCACACTCTTGGAGGGCTTCTTGGCCCTCAATACCCCACTATAACACTACTTCACTGCTGATGCCAGACTGGGTTTTCCACACATCAAGCAGTTCTGTGACACCAGCTGGGTGTGTTCTACAATTTAACTCAGTTCTGACACTACCTGGAATTAGTGTCAGATCCTACAAGAGTGCCCTCCCTCCACTTCAGACACGAGTCTCAAGTTCAGGTTGTCACCTGTGCTTCTGACAGACCAGCTATCAATCGGAGTTTCCCAAGACCCCCTCCCCAGGTTTCATTAATTTGCCAGAGCAACTCACAGAACTCAGGGAACCAGTTTACCTACTAGATCACAAGTTCATTGTAAAAGGATAAAACTTAGGAACAGCCAGATGGAAGAGATGCGGAGGGCAAGGCATGTGGAAGGGCGGGCGGAGCTTCCATGCCCTGCCTGGGTCCCCACTCTCCCTGCACCTCCATGTGTTCTCCAGCCCAGAAGCTCTATGAACCCCATCCTTTTGGGGTTTTATGGCAGCCTCATTACACAGGCACAGTTGATTAACTCATTGGTTGTTGGTGAAAACCTCCAGCCTGTGTTCACTCCAAGGATTTAGAAGTGAGTGCCAGAAACAGAATGAAGACCAAATCTATATATTTCTTATTATAAATCACAATATCACAGTAGTCTAGTAAAGCCTGCCCCCTACCCACACAGGGGTCCTGGGGTTCATAGCCTGAGGAGACTGAATCCCCAGGGGGGTCTTTGGATGTGAGCCATCTGAGCCACAGAGCTAAAGGCTCTTCCCACCCCATGGTCCATGGGATAGGAGTCCCCCAGAAGGGGCCCTTTAATATTCTCCCTGAATATCTCTCCCTGCTCCTCAGCTGTACCTCTCAATATATCTTTCCAAAAATGCCAAGTCTAGTTAATTGTTTTCATCCCCAATGTTAAATCATATCAATAACAATAATACATATATCGCATGGCTTATTTGTGGTCATCATTTGCTAATCCTCATACTTGTGCCGCACCGGGTCAATGATTATAGCTCTGTGATGTGCTTTCTAAGGAGTCAGGGCAGAATGGAAAAAAAAATCACAGCAAGTCACCTCATCTCATTTTCTCATTTAAAGAACAGAGACAGTTACTTGAAGTATTTGTGAGGATTAAAAGAAATATCTGTATTTCCTCAGTTCTGTATGGTAGCCTCTATGTCTACCCAATGCCATGTCTGAGGAAATTTGGGCAGGAAGAGAAAATAACAACTTGTATCTTATCTAATAACAAAAAAAGAACAGCTTTACTGAAGTAAAACTGACATGATGAATTACACGTACTTAAAGCAAAGCATTTGGTAAGTTTTAACATACGTATACACCCGTGAAACCACCGTAGTCAAGATAATGAACCATATCATCACCTATAAACGTTTCCACATGTGTAATTTAGAGCAGGGGCTCTGGGAACTCCCATTTGTCTGTGATTTTCAGAAGGATCATTCTCTTGTTTCAATGCTCTGCTGTAGTCTTAACCTTCTTGACGATGGTATATTTGAACTTGTGTTTTGTAAGTGAAGTTTGATGGGATGGTGGCTCATGTGGCAGGAGATATGTGTGCATTCGTTCCTTGCTACCTTATTAGTATATGCGTCTGTGATGCCTGCTACGTGGCTTCTGTAACAAGCTTATTTTGTATGTAGGGCCACACGCTCAGAAGGGCTCCTCTCTTGTTTTAATGCTCTGCTGTCACATCTTAAAATTCTTAATAATTGTCATCTTGAAATCTTTCATTTTATCTTTGAACCTGTGTATTGGAAGTGAAGTCCAATGGGCAATGGATCTTGTGTGTGAGCAGAAGAGAAACATGCGATATGGGTGTTCACCATTCACATACAGTGTTCACAGTGCCCCATGAGCATAGAATTCTGGTGAACCCACAAGGCATGGACATTCAGCGAGACTCAAAATGAGTACAAGGGAAGCGTGTTATATCTATGGTAAGGAGGGGCACCAAAGAGGCCACGCTTTCTGTTCAAACTAGAAGTTTCTTAGGTCCCAGAAAAAAGGTAATGGCCTTCCAAGAAACAAGGACAATGAAGGAAACTTAACATATCCTTTCTTAGTCATGATACTTCCCTCTTTTAGCCAATCACTTACACTGAAAATGATAACATAGAAGGAAGGGGAAACATAGGACACCTCATACTTCCCTTTCCTTTCAGCCTTCCTCATTCATTAGTAAGTAGGAAGTAGGGAGTGTCGGTAAAATGTGTGAATATCAAGAAGTGAAATAAAAGCAATTCAGTTGGTTTGGTGCAACATTTCCACTGTCCTGGTAAGAATGTATGAGCTATGCAATACCAACGGTGTAGTTTCAGTGATTCCACATATGAGTTAAATGCTCTTAGATTGCATTTAAAACTGTCATTGCACAATATAAACATGAATGGTAAAATTCATGCTAATAATTAAAAATTAATTTTTCTTAGAACAACATTTAGTAGTAAATAAAAAACACCATGACAAGTTGAGAGAGACTAGAAGAGAGGAAACAGCTTTATACTTCAATGCTCCTACTGGCACGTTTTTCCTACTTTTTGAACAAGGGGGCCCGCATTTTCATTTTGCATTGGGCCCTGCGAATTATGTTGTTGGCCCGGTTTGGAAAGCTTGCTGTCAGGACGCTTCCTCTCAGAACGCAGCTGCCGTGTTGGGAGCAAGCCCAAGCCACATGGAAAGGGCACGTGTAGGTGCTCCAGTCAACAGTCCTGCCCAAGCCCAGCCTTTGGGGCATCCCAGCACAGGTGACAGAAATACAGCCTTCAGATGATTCCACTCCTACCTTTCCTAGCCCTCCCCCAGCCCCACCTCAACTTCCAGACACCTCCATCCACCTGGGTCTTCCAGCTGAGACCCAGCCTTCATGGAGTAGAGACAAGCCATCCCTGCAGTACCCTGTCTGAGTTCCTGATCTACAGAATCCATGAACAAAATAAAACACATGGTTGTTATGTTTCACCAGAGATTAGGGTAGTTTGATATGCAGTAATAAATGTATCCTAGTTTATTCACTCGCGTTGATTCCAATCTTTTGTTAATACAAATGAAGCTGCAATGAATAACTGTGCATAGTCTTTGTATACTTAGGGCAGATTCCTAGAAACGAGGATTACTGTGTCAAAGGGTAAAATGCATACACAATTTTGTTAGCTCTTGCCAAATTCCTCTCTAAACAGCCTTCTTTGCGTTTACAGTATATTTGTACATGCATAATTCCCCTCCCCAACATACCTACAGAGAAACATACATAGAGAAAAATGCATAGAGGTACAGCTTGATGAATTCTTGATGAAACTAAACACATGCGTAACCCTCACCCAGGTCAAGAAACAAACATTCCTAGCAGCCTAAAAGCTGCCCTTGTCCCCCTTCCCAGTGAGTACACCCTTCCATGGTATGAATTTACCACTATTTATCCAATTTCCTTTTGGTATTTCCCGTTAGGGGCTAATACATTCTATGCTCCTTGGCTTTTATTATAGTCATCAGAACCTGTTGCACAGATGTCACGTTTGTTAGATGCTCCTCTATGGTTCTGCCGTTCTGTTGGGTTATTGTTCTCAAAGTAGGTTCCTGTGGAACCCTGGGGTTCTTTCTCAAATGACAGGAAAAAGAACAAATGCATGGATTGGCTCTTCTCAGTGCAAAAATTTTCCTAAAACCTTTGGGGTTCGTTCCCACTTGTCGGCTACCAAGTTTTAGCGATGACAGATGTGCAAGAAACAGGAAAGAATGGGAAGACCCAGAAATGCCATGGGCTGCTACTGGGAGTAACAGTGGTCATCATCTACGGAGAAGTCTTTTGCATTGGGATAGGGTCTTTTACGTACAGTAGATAGATCTTCTCTAATCTTCAAAAGCCTTGGCGAAATAGGTATTGGGACCCCTCTTTCACTGGGAGTGAAAACCCAGGCTCTGAGAGGGGAAGTAACTTGCTCAAGGTTCATTGCTCACATTGGAGAATGGCAAAGCCTATAGGCTCTGGGCTCCCCAACGGCCCTGGCTTCCTTCGGTTTAGACCACATCTTTGTGTCCTCTTCTCAGTCTGGCACCCAAGGCTCTGCCTCCTCTGCCTCTTTCAGAGCACTGGCCTCTTCCTTCCCCTTCCTGAATGTTCTCAAGCTTTTCCCTGAGCCGCCCCTGGGCCTTTGCACATGCTGCTCCCTCTGCCTGGAACCCTCTTTTTCCTCTTTACCTAACTCCTCCTCGTCCTTCAAGGACGCATCCCCTAAGTTGATATCCTTGCTCCAATAGCACTGTAGAGTTCCCCTGTCACTGTCACTGTGCTTTTCGTTGTTTGGTTATTGAATTTCTGTCTCCTCCCACCCACCCCAGACTGAAGGCACCTTAGAGCAGGTGTCTGTCTGTCTTGTTCATGGCTGTGTCCACAGAGCCTAGCACAGTTGCTGGCACATAGTAGGCACTCAATAACATTGGCTGAGGGAAGGGACCATCTTACTTGAGTCCCATGGCAACCCTGTGAAGCAAGCAGGGCTGGGCTGCTCACTCGCATTTTACAGATGAGGATAGCAAAGCCCAGAGAGGGAAGGGTCCAGTCCCCTGTGACTTGTGGACACAACCAGGCCTGGGTGACTGTGTTCCTGACACCTCTCCCAGACCGAGGGGTCGGGCCTCAGCCAGCCAGGGGGGCTTCCAGGGCTCCCGTAGCCCTCCCTTGTTTCCCAGATTGGAAGTGACAAGTGTGACCCTCTCCTGCCCAGGACCTGGTGGGCGGGGTGGGAGGGGTGCGTGGGTGCAGCCGGAGGTGGGATCAGAGCGGCGAGAAGGCCGAGGAGGTAGACAAGAAAGCTAAGTCCTACTTGCAGAAGAGTTGGGGGGTGGTGGAGCTGTGGTCACGTTCTGAAGCCAGGGCAGGGGAGTCAGGAAGTCAGAAGCAGGAAGGAAGCTCCCGTCCCTGCCCCAGGAGGACCCAGAGGACTCAATGGCCTTTATCTTCCTGTGTGTTCCAAGCACTGGTCAGCTTGGACTCAGCAATTGCTTATGTATTTATTTTCCTTTAATCTTGGTCACAGGGAACATAAGACTCTGGAGCAGGTGATTTGGGTCCAAAACCACCTCTGAAACCCCTCACTGTGTGACTTTGGCCAAGTATCTTGGCTTCTCTGGACCTCCATTTCCCCATCTGTAAAAGGGGGAGATGATAATAGTACCTATCCCATACGGCCGTTATAGGGCTTCCCCAGATATTCTAAGGGAAGTTCTTCGTGGGGTGCCTGGCATAGAGAAATAATTAGAGATAACATCACAGAGAACTTACTATGTACAGGCCCAGTACGAGGGCACTTACAGTTTACTAAGCCTTCATGTGGACTTTGGAGGCTCCAGCATGATCCTCGAAAGGGGCAGAAGTGGGACTTGGACCTAGCTCTCTACAGAACCAGAGGGCTGAACCAAAGAACCATGTTACTTAGACAGAGCAGCTGCTGCATGCCGGGCCCTGCATTCTGTTCCATAGGGCAATAAAGGTCAAGTGGAAATGGACAGTTCTTCCAGGACAACTGATGGCCATCTGGGACCCTCTCTTCAGAAGGAATACTTCAGACCCAAACCTGCACTCCAGTTTAAGAACCCCTGCAGCAGGAGGGGAGCTGGAGAGGGGCTGAGCTAGGCGGTGAGGAGTCCTCCTTGTAGGCTGAGCTCAGGGTACTTGGGAGCCGCTGAAGGCTCTAGGCAGGGGAAGTGACATGACTGTAGGCCAGGAGGGAGCAAACCTGGAGATGGGGCTCTATTGGGAGGCTGCTGGGATCTTCCAGGCAAAACATGAGGTTGGGGTGAGAGGGCAGGCGCTGGAGGGGGAGCGGTGCCGGATGTCCTGCTTCCCTTCCTGCCAGCTGGGAAATGTCACCTTTGGGTACAGCTTGCCCTGCTCCCAGAGAAGGAAGCTGAGGTGGTGGGTGGCTCTGCCATACATAGACGGCTCAACTCCAGACATACACAAAAGAGAAATATTTAACTTACTGAGTTTTGGGGTCTTTCTGCTACAGCAGCTTGGCCTGTACCAGAACTCACTGTGTGACCTCAGGCAAAGGACTTTACTTCTCTGAGCCTCAGTTTCCACATTTGTAAAACAGGGGCAATAACAGAACCCACTAGGATTCCGAAGTGGTGTGTGTAGAGCTAACACGGAGGAGCCATGCAGTGAATGCCCCTTATCCCCACACAAGCCCCTGGCTGGCCCCTAACTCCTGTCTAGCCCAGTGGCAAGACTTTTATTTTCTCTTCCTCCTTCTGACTCCCTTGGTGGCAGAGGCTCAGGGCAGTGGACACAACAGACGTCAGACCCAGGGTCTGGATGACTTTCAGACAGAGGCGATCCCTCTCCTGAATTTTACAGATTAGGAAACTGAGGTCTAGAGAGGGGCAGGAATTTGCCCCAGCTCCACAGCAACTCGGGCAGAGTGGTGCTGGATCCAGTCCCTCGTGGGCACTGGGGTGGGGAGTTGATTTCCGAAATAGGTGTCGGGGTCACCTCTTCCCACCACTCTCCCTTGGCTCACTGGCTCAGTGGCATCACTCTCCCACACTAGCCTCCTTATGGTTCCTCACAACTACCTCAGGGCCTTTGCACATGCTGTTCCCTCCAGTGGGCCTACTCTTCCCCCAGCTCCTCACCTGGCTGCCTCTTTCTCACCTTTAGTCCTCAGTTTAAGTGTCCCTCTTCAGAGAGTCCTTCCCTGATCACCCTGCCTCTGAAATCTTTTATCTGTAACTCCTGTTTATTTTCTTCACTTACAATATATTAATTAGTTAATTTAGTTAAATAAAAAATTTTTTTAATTTTATTTTGGCGGGTCTCTCCCTCTAGCCTGTTAAGCTCTATGATTTCGGGACTGTGGCCATCTGTCTCTCTCGTTTGCTGCTCCCTCCCCATCACCGAGGCAGGCCTTGGCCCAGGCAGGTCCTCAGTACGTCCCTGCCATGTGAAAGAATGAATACGTGTATGAATGAATAAATACATGAGTGAACGTGCCAGGCCTGGATGTCCACCACTGCACTGAATTTGCACGACTTCCCCATGACTAGATCACAGTCTCTGCATTGTGCAGATGTGGAAAGTGAGGCTCAGAGAGGTCCCACAGGGGAGGGTGGGAATGTGTTGGATGTTAAAGGCCATTGGACTTCCCTGCCCTCAGGACACAGGCAACAGCAGCTCACAGGCCACATTACACGTTAATCTAACACAAGAAAGTAACACATTTTTGCTGGATGTGGCCTGGACCAGATTCCATTCTCAGAAGGGCTGCTCCATCAAAAGATGCTGATGCTGCTGTTGCCAAGGCAACACTGTTAGCTTTCCCAAGCATCTTCAGTGAGAGAGGTGAAGGCCCAGATGGACACTGGCGGGGGGGAAAGTCTGGAAAAAGGGATCAAATCACCCAGCCAGCAGGACAAACCATCCTGATGCTGACTTATCCCCTGCCCCCTGCAAAGGGCCACCTCCTACCCCACCCATGATTGTTGTCTCTAGGCTGTGCTCAGTGAACTCTCTCCCCCAGTGTGGCAACTGCCTTTGCTGCGAACGTGCAGAGATCGTGGGAAGAATGCATTCTGCCTGCCTGGCTCCATCGGGACCTACCAGGTGCCAGTGGGAAAGACAGATTAGTCTTGGAAAACTTTCCAGAAAGTTCCTTCAGCCCTTGATATAGGTGGAAGGGACACCACTCCAGCATTTTTGTGGTCGGTGCCAATGTGCCTCCAGAGAGCTCTGGACGAGGGAGGCAGCTGATAGGTGCAAGTGCACTGGAGGTGGTGACTGGCTGTGCCTCTCGGATGAAACTTTCCCTCTCTGAGCTCTAATTTCTTCACTACTAAAATGGGGGAACGCTGGTCTGATTCAGGGAGAGGGGACAAGGATTCTACATAGGAACCTGCAGATGTAGGTATCTCAGAAGCCAGTTCCTGCAAGCGGTGGCCTCCAGGAGACCCACCCAAGGCCAAGACCTCACCAGCCAGGCCCCCTAGGGCCTTGTGCACCCAGAATCCTTTAGCCGTTCATGTCTGCAGCCACGGTGAGTCAGCGTTGCTCTCTTTTAGATGTTTGTAGGTGCTCCATCCTTATTGCACAGATGAGAACTGGAGGCTTAGAGAGGGCAGGGGCTCTGCTCCAGTGACAGAGCCTGGACTGGGCAGAGCCTTCTGGGCAGAACACAGCAGTGTCCTTGATAGTCTGGGGCAAACCAGGGATTAGCTGGAGCCTGAGGGGCGGGCCTTGGGGGCAGGGAGGCTAGGAGAAGAGGCAGAGATGGAGATAAGAGAGATGGGAGTCTGAGAGATGGAAAGAGAAAAAGTGAACCTCTGTTCTTGCCTGCCCAGCATCCCTGCTTCCTAAAGTGGCTCCTCAGTTTCCCCAAGGCCAGTCCACATGACTTGGAGGGAACTAACTCCACCCCCTGGTTCCAGGCATGATAGTGTGACCCAGGTCTGGTCAACCAGAATCACAGTGATAAGCACAGGGATGGACACAGGACCAGTCCTGGCTGGAAGGAATCCTGCCTTGCTGGGATCCCTGGGACAGGGGAGCTTTCTGTCTGAAGGATGCTGAGCAGGCAGGCCACAACCCTGGGGCTGCTGGAGCCATCTTTAAGGAAAGAACGTGACTGAGAATGAGGTCAGCATGGTGGATGGCAAGCCTGAGAGGTGGGGAGGGACATCACTTGAGCACCTGGATCTAACCACATCTGAATCCATCCCTAGACTCCCTGTATGTGAGTCAATCCATTCCTCAGGATAAGGTTTCTATCCCTTGCACTTGAGAGTCCTGGCACAGAGAAGGAAGGAAAGTAAGAAGGAAGGATGGATATTTTAAAGAACATATGTGTGAGCGCTACCCAAATCGGCTTCTTGGTCTTCTTAGACAACTGGAGGGCAGACAGGGATTTGGGACTTCACCCCACCCAGAGGAGCTCTGTTCCCGGGGCACACAGCATTGCCTATATACTTGTAGCACAAAAATAAATGCTGTAGATACAAAAATAAAATGCTTACCTTCCCTGGGTCCAGAAGAAGGAGTGGCATGCGCTAGGGGGCCGATTTCTCCACCCCATGCACCTCTTTGGGAACTAACATTTATTAGGCACCTGTTTCATGCCAGGCTCTGTTAAGAAGTTGCAATACAAGGTCTCATTTCCTCCTGCCCCATCACAGCAAGGAGGGAATATCACCATCTCCATTTCACAGACCAGACGATTGAGGCCTTGAGAGGCTGAGCCACTGGCTTCAAGTTCAAGAGCTGCAGCAGGGCTGTCTGACTCTTAAGTCCTGCCAGCAGCACCACACTGTACACCGTAGACACTAAATAAAGGCTGGCCGAGCAAATGCTGGATAGGGCGGTGTCAGCCTCCTGGGCAGCCACCTGCCCCTAAGTACTTTTCCCTCCTGCCTGAAGTCACCATTAGCAACCACATCCTTTGGTTTCCCTGAAGGAGATCAGCATTAATCTGTGCTGGGTTTAATCAGTGGATTGGCCGAGGTGGGACCCAGGGGTGGGGGCAGAGCCCAGTGGGATGAAGGTGCCCCATTTCCACCGTGCAGCCCCATCCAGGAGAAAACCTTCTGAAGACAGAGGTGCAACCTGGCGGTAGGGCAGGTCGGTCGTGGGCTGGGTCCGGGTGTTGGCTGAGGACGACAGGACTTTGGTGGCCTCATCAGGTCTGAGGAGGGTGACACAGTAATGGGACTGGGTGGCAGAGTGGCTGTGGCCCCTCTCTGAAAAAAGTTCATGAGAAGCCCGTGGTCTCCCAGACTCAGCAAAGGCCCAGTCTCCATGGAGCCCTAGCTGCAGCATCGCTGTTGGACAAGGCAAGAGGAGGCTAGGGGCTCTGCCTTGGAGGCAGGAGGGATCTGGACCCAGCTCTTGGTGTCCTGTTCGAGGCAGAGTGGGCCCCAAGAGCCCCTGAACTTGAGCTGGTATGAGCTGGGGTCACACGGAGTGCTGAGGGCAGCCCCTAGACAGAGATCTGGCTTCCTACGGACAGAGAAGCCTTGGAGCACAGACAGGAAACTTAGTTCTAGACCCTTCTTCAGCGACGGTGTATCTGTTTTAACCCAAAGTTTCCTTCCAGTTGTTTTTAGAGGCTGAGAATGTCACTGTGGCCCTCGTAGCTAGAAATGGTGAAAGCAGCTGGGGCTGGGGATAGTGACCTGGGGTTTCAGCTCATGACATACAAGGACCAGCTTTTTCCAAGGGTATCCGCAGCCCTGAGAGATGCTCTGGGATAATCAGGGCCCATTTTCAAATAAATAAATTTGGGGAAAGCTGCCTACTCTAGCCCTTTCATGGGCAGTCACTAAGCACATGACCACACTAATGGCCCTGACAAGGCCTGCAGCTAAGAATGCCGGTTCACGTTGGTTTAACCTGGTGTTTCCCTCCCTTACTTGACCACAGGTACTTTTAGAGGGGAGTCCTAGTTATTCTCTCTGGAATATATTCTAGGACATTCAAGGGGTAAAGGAATCCCTCTTAGATCTCCTGGAGCCCCTGAGAAACCACATCTGAGCTTTAGATGCTGGGGCCTAGGAGTGGTGGACAATGTGGGTGGAAATAACTCCCGTTATAGGGTGGATGCAGCTCCTTCAGTCCTGAACAGAAAGCTCAAGGACATCTCAAGGCTGAGAAAGCTTGGAACAAGAGATGGCCTTCCCAACAACCCAGGGACAGACTCTGGGCCTCCATCTGGGCAGTTTCCTGCCTGTAAATACCTTTCCGCCTGCCTCACATCCCACCACTAGTCGTGTATTCCTTTGAGGAGCCCAGTTAAATCTGTTCTCAGCTCATCCAGGGTACTGCGACCCTCAAGCTGGCCGGAGGGCCCTGCAGGAGGCAGGAGAGAAGAGGAAATAGGGACAATGAAGAGGCAGGAACCCCCAAACACCCACCATTTCACAACTTGAGGGAAAAAGGGAGGGAGGTGACTCTTCTGGACTCCTGGGGTAAGGAGGGCTGGCTCAGGGGACCCAGGGTGTCCAGGACGAGGTCCTGGCATTGTGTCCTGTGTTTGGGTCCAGCTTGTTCAGAGGATACCACATCCAGGTCCTCCTGCGGGACCAGCCTCCAGGCGGGCTGCTCCTTAGATGTCTGTGGGACGCACCATCATGCGAGTAGAGCGCAGCGAGTAGCTGGGGCCTTGGAAGTAGTGCCAGCGGATGCCGTTGAGCTTGCGCACGTGGTGGCGGGCCGGGTAGTAGATGCCATTGAGGTTTGAGAGGCCGCAGGCATCAAACCACCATCCTGGTGGAGGGGGAGTTAGAGGCTCTGGGGATGTGGGGGCCCAGCCAGTGGGGGAGGGCAGCCCCCTACCCCGAAGATGAATCAGGGCTGGTGGCTCCTCTGGGAAGCCAGCTTGCTGGAGACGGGGCTGGGTGGGAACGGGCATTGGCTGGTGGGGGAGGGAGGCTCCCAGACCCGCTGCTCAGTATGGGGCCTCCAGAGGCAGTGCACTCATGTCTGTCTCTCTGTGTCTGTCTCTGATCTCTGTATCTCTCTTTGCTTTCCCTTACCCTACCTTTCTGGGTCTCTCTGTCTTTCACACACTTTGTCCATCTGTCTTTCTGTGGTCTGCGTTTCTCTCTCCATCTCTCCCTCTGTACTTCCCTCTGTCCCCATGTAGCTCTGTGCCCAGCACTCTGTCTGTCCATCCTGATGTCTCTCTCGTCTCCATCTGTCCCTGTCTCTGGAGGTCTCCTCTGATCTCTGTCCTTCCCATTCTGTCTCTCACTCCTCATCTCCCACTCTCTGATGTCTCTCCCCACAGAAAACACTGCCTAAGCCAGAGTTGGTGGGCAGCTGCCCCTCTGCCCTCCACCCAGGTCTCCCGCCTCCGGATCCTGCTTGGCCCGGGAGGAGGGTTGGGGAGGAAGTCTCAGGCCTGGGGTTGGGCAGATTAGGCATTGTACCCCCCTAGGGTGCACCCTGGGCCCCGCTCTCAGTGCTTCTTAGAGGTCTCAGAGGAGAACTGGTGATGCCAGCTTTAGGAGGAGGTGAGACCTTGGAGGGGACCTCAAGGAGCCTGTCGGGGGGAAGGTATGGATGAGGGACGGCCAGCTCAGCCCGTGGGTGAGCGAGACCCTGACCTGCACCCACTTCTTGACGGCACCTGGCTGCACAAGGACCCGAGTGGGGAGGGGATGGGCGTATTCAGCCAGGCGTGCCTGTGGGGAGGTGGGGCTTCACCCCGCCCTGCACCCACCTCCGGACAGCATCTGGGCGCACTTGCAGAGGCAGTTGTCGTTGTCTGCGTCGCGGGTGCTGAAGTTGGTGCCCTGCAGGACCAGGCTGCTCTGGCGCCCCGCCGAGCCGCTGTACCCACTCAGGGAAAGCCTGGAGGCCACCCGGAGGTGGTGATGGGAGAGGGGCCCAGAGTCAGGTTGGGGGTGGTTGCGGAAGGGGTTCCCCTCCCTGTCTGCTGCCTGCAGGGACAGAGTGCCCGCCCCGTGCCAGGCCTCCCTCAGCTGGCTGAACCTGAGTCTTGGCCAGTTGTGAGAATGATCGTGACAATAATAATAATGAGGACCACGGCTAACATTTTTTTGAACATCTACTATGTGCCAGGCATTGTTTAAAGCACTTTACATGGGTTATTCATTCTCATTTAATCCTCAAAATACCTTAGTATTCCCATTTTACAGACGAGGAAACAGAGCTCCCAAGAGCCACAGGAGCCTGCCTGAGATCTCAGAACGAATGAGGGTGAGAGACAGATCCCAGCCCCATTTGGCCTGACTTCCCAGCTGACCATCCGGCAACCCCAGCCCTATCACACCTCACGCCCACCCACGCCCTCCGGGAAGCCTTCCTTGACCACAGCAGCCCACATGGATCAGGGCCCTGAGGCACCCCCAGCCCTGTGACCTCCACCCCTGCAGCCAGCTGGGGAGGGTTTCTATTTCTCGGTCAGGCTATGAGGCCCTGGCGGGCACATCCAGGCCTTTGTGGTGATTACGACCACAAGTTCTGGGGGTAAAACGCCTGGATTCAAATCCCAGCTGTGCCGCTCGTCAGCTGTGTGGCCTTGGGCAGATTGCTTCGCCTCTCGGCTTCAGTTTCTTCATCTGTTAAAACGGTAACGATAGTATATTAACCGTCATTGTGATGGGGTGACCTCGGCGTGTGACAGGTGCAGGGCAGCACTGGCACACAGTAAGTGCCTGGCACGTTCGGTGCTTGTGGATTCGTCCCATCCTGTCCCCGTGTTCCCAGCCCGTGTGCTTGGCTGGCACAGGCTTCCACTGAGCCTGGCAGGAGAGAGTGTTGGGGGCTTGTAGCAGGGCAGGGGCTGCACTGGCAGCTGAGGCGGGAGCCAGTTTGGGAGCAACAGAAGGTCCTACGGGTGGAGGCAAGTGGACATCAGATGCAGCCGGGGCAGCTCGGGGAAGCCCTGGCTCCCCAGGGCAGGACCTGCGAGATGCCCCCATTGGGATCCAGAGGGAATGTGGGGCCTGGGCATGAGGCCACCTCAGTCCCTGCATCTACCCCCTGTGTTCTCTGTCTGTGGTGAGGGCAGGGCTGGCTCAGCGTGGCCAGCCGTGAAGCCTTAACTGTGCCCTTAAATGTGCCACCCTGGGCTTGCATGAGTGGCATTGCAAATCCCCCGCCAAGAGGCCCACCTGGCCAGGGGCTCCCTGGGGTGGGGACAGGCTGGCTGGCCCACCTGCTCATAGGGTCCCAGCTTCTCCTTGTGGCCATTGAGGGCTCCATTTGAGGGCTCAGTCATGTCAGTTCAAGGCCAGGCTCGGGACTCAGGCTAAAGTTTGAGGTCACCTTTAGTCTGGGGCTGTGTGGAATCAGTGCTGGACAAAGCCGAATGATCTCATGGGGTCACTGCCGCAGCACTGGCCCCAAGTCCTCAGCCTCCCTTCCCCTCCTCTCTGGGAGCCAGAAGGGGGATCTGCGATCTCTAAGGGACCCTCAAGTCATGAGCCGGGAAGCCCCAGTTGACCCATTGCTCAGATGCACTTTGGACATAATCATGGCTCAGGTCTGGGGAACACAAACATACACACGAGTCCTTGGACACCCCCAATTGAGACACACGAGGTGCGTGAGTCTGTGTCTGAGGCCGTGAGCATCCGGATACAAGTCTCTGTGCCTGCGTGTTCATGTGTGCGTTTAAGTTTGTGCAGCAATCTCTACGGTGGGTCTGAGTGTGCGCTCTGGAATATGTCTTTGCGCCTGAGATTGTGTGCGTGTTTACCTGAGAGGGCTTCTCTGAGGCATGTTTGCACACGTGCCTGGGTGTGTGTCTGTGCTTGTTTGTGTGGCTATGGCACTTGTGTGAGTCTGTGCCCTGAAGGTTCAAGTGTGTACCCCAGGGGTACATGTGCATGTGCGTCTGTGCGTGTCCCTGTATATCTCTGTGTGTATCTGCTGCTTGTTGCCGGGTCTGGGTGTGTGGGCACCTCTGGAAGGCCTATGCCTGGTGTCAGTGTGTGCCTGTGTCTTGTCTGTGCCTCCCCCATCCCGCTCCGTGGGCCGCTTCTCTGCAGTCTTATGCATGCACCCCAGCCGGGCTCCAGAGGGTTCCCATTATTGTGTCTGACAAATAAGGGTGCCCCTCCCACCCCGATGCCCACGCTCCAGCTTCTGCCTGCCCAGGTTTCACCACCTCTAGGCTTCCCTATGGGGATCCACCCCACCTCACCAGGCAGCTGACGCTGTACGGTGGGGACCCAGGGACAGCACCTGTTTCTGTCACTCTCCCCTTAGCCCTCCTCTGGCAGTTTCCAGGTCCCTATGTGTTTTCCAGGATCTTCCAGGCTTTTCCTGAATGAGCAGGGCCTATTCCTTACGATCCCCGGAGCCCTTGAAAGAGCCTTGCTCAGGTTTGGGGTTTCTGTGGCCAGCTGCATGTCAACTCTTCTTTCTGCCTTCTTTTCAGAATCTCCCTGCTGCTTGGGGAGCCCTTTCTATCCTCTCTCTGTCTGGCGAATGCCTACTCTTCAGAGGCACCACCTCCTCCAGGGAGCCCTCCCCGATAGCGCAAGCATCTCTATGCCCTTGTGCTTTCCCCTTAGGCAGCTCCTGTCTTCTTGGGGGTGTGGGTTTGCTTGTGGACACACTCACCCTCAGACACACACGACACACTGGGCTGTGAACAACTTTGAGGGGTAGAGCGCAGGTCTGATTCTTCCACAAATGATCAGAACCAGCCCATGCCTGGCACAGAGCAAGTGTTCAATATATCATTATTATTATTTAGGGCTCTGCAAAGGGTCACATAGATGTGGGCCCTTTGAAACCTGAGCATAACAGTCTGGAACCATGGGCAGGGAGCTCTCCATGACTCAGATAAAAAGCCAGAGGGAGCTCATCAAATTCACAGAGGGGAGCACAGCAAGGGGTTCCAAATGTAACATACATGTATATGCTTGTATAAATGGACATAAATAATTGAGATATACATAGATGCAGAAATATTATATTTCTGTCTTTGAATATATTGTTTGTATATCTCTAACGTTTATGTAACACTTACCACATGCTCTGCGTTTTCTGCAGATTATCTCAATTATGACACAGATACTATATTTTACAGATGAGGAGACTGAGGCACAGAGAGGTAAGTAACTTGTCTAAGGCCATGAATCCAACAAGTGATAGAGTCAGGGTTCACACCCAGGCAAGCCGGCTCCAGGGCCACGTTCTTTAGCACAATGAGATGCTTTTCCCGATGTTTCTTGTGCAAGAAAAATGGCAGATCCTGGACTTAGGGCCACAGAAGCTGCTGCCCAAGAATTGGGTCATGGAGTTGAGGTTTAACTGTTACTTGTGTAGGAAAGGGAGGCTCCCCCAGCTTCCTGTTATGCACTTACCATGTCCCAGGCACTGGAGATGGGAACAGCAGTAAACTTGCCCAGAGCAGCCCAGCCAAGTGTGTGAAGGGCTGGCTTGGGGACAGTAATTATAATGTTATAATATAATTTGCTGAACATATACTAAGTGCCAGCGCTAATGCTCTACGTGTGGTAGCTCATTCAACCTTCACAACACTTCAGATGCGGTAGGCACACCTATGGCCCCCATTTTGCAGATGAGAAGGTGAAGGGACTTGCTCAGGGTCGCTCAGGGAGAGAGGGATAAAGTCAGGATTTAAGCCTTGGCTTTGGTGGTCAGCGGCTTAAAGAGGAGTCAGCAGGACGTTGTGGCTACTCACTGTTCCGCTTAAGGAGTCGGAGGCATCCAGCTGGGCCCCGCCTAGCCCAGAGCCGGAGATGTTTCATTCAGCTCTAGACATTGCACTTGAAGGAGGAACATTATCAGACTGGGTTGGGTCCCACAGAGGGGATGTCAGAACCAGCTAGCTGGAGGAACCAGGGGCATGTAATAAAGGGGTTGGGGACACATCACTGGGAAGCCCTCAGAGGTGGAATTAGGCATACAATGCAGGCGGACAGAGAGTCATCAGAGATTCTTTGGGAGGAAGTGACCTCCCATCAGTGAAGGCATTCCAGCATGGCTGGATGATGAATGTGGCTGCGGAGAAGATTCTAGCATCATGTGAAGAACCAGATGACATGTGAGGTCCTTTGTGGCCCTAGAGCATGAGTCTATGAATTCAATTCTGTCCTGGTTCCAAGCTAGCTTATCTTTAAGATCCTTGAGTTTCTGAGAGACGTAACATCATGTAGGAGAAACACCATGAGTTTTGGTAGCAAAACTGAGTTCAAAACCAGGCCCTACCTGTTTTGTAACTTTGGGCAGGGGACTTAAGCTCTGTGTCTCAGTTCCCACATCGCTAAAGCAGGTACAGCAATGCTTACCTCAGAAGGTTGTGGGGAGGATTAAATGGAGTCATTTGCCTGGAACATAATAGGTGCTCAAGAAATGTTCATTCCTTTTCCTGAACAGAGCCAAGAACCAGGCTGAGGGAGGGGTGAGAGACCTTGATGATTTTCTAATGGGCTCGTATTTAAGCCCATCCTGTGGTTAAGAAGCAGAGGTACAGAGAAGCCCACTTGACTTGCCTGAGTTCACACACTGAGCTGGAGCAGAGCCAGAATGAGCCCAGTTCCCCTGATTCCCAGCCTGAAATTTCCACCTCACCCCACAGCATAGGACAGGCTGGGAAAGTCACCTCCCCACTTCTGGGCCTTTGTAAAATGATTGCCTCGGGGTGACTGACCTTGGAAGGCCCCTTCCTGTTCCTGGCATGGCAGTGTCAGTGACATTCTCTCCACCCCACCCAGTGGCCAGGATGTGCTGAGTGCTAACCAGCCGCCTCCAGATCCCATGACGTGCGCCCAAACGGGGGACAGATGGCAGGAACTGGAGACGCCCAGGGACTGACCGCTGGTGCATACTCTGTAGCCACTAGCCCAGGGCTCCCAGCCCACCCATGAGCCTGGGCCCCAAGCCCACCTGTACAGCTGCCCCTCGCTGCCCAGCTGGAAATGCTCATACTGGGCGTAGGCCTCGTTGCCTTCCCAATCTTGCAGCTCCACGCGCAGAGAGTACGCTGCCCTGCTGGTGAGCTGGTGCACCACCTCGTTACCTAACCAGTGCTCCCCGGCTGGGTTGCCAAAGCCCTGGGGAAGAGGAGAATGGGGGTAGGCTGCATGCCGAGGAGGAAGGCTACACCTCTGGTTAAGGAGCTGGGCTGGGCCGGGCTCTGGGGACACTTACCCAAAACCACTTTGCTAGGAGCTCCCCAACTCCTAGAGCAAAAAGACTAAGACTTTTGTGAATGTAAAAGCCTGTTAAAAATAATTGAAATCACATGAATCATAATTGAAATCTATGAAGTTCAAGAACAGGCAAAAAACCAGAAGTCTGTGGTGGTAGGAGTCAGAATAGCTACTACCTTTAGGGGAGTCTTGACTTGGAGGGGACACAAGGAGGGCTTCTGGGGTGCTGGAAGTGTTGTATATCTAGCTTTGAATGGTGGTCATATGGGTGAATACATATGTGAAAATTCACTGAGTCTTACACTTCAGATTTGTGCACTTAGCTACATGAATATTACATCTCAATTAAAAAATTAAATCAGCTGCATAAGTGGTAGAGCAAACATTGTTCAGTGACATGGCAGCCACTGAAAAATTTCAGTGACATAGGAATGTAAAGCTAAGAGCATTGGGAGTCACCAGTGTCCCAGAGTGACACGTGACCAATGCCCTTGGGCAGAACAATAATTCAGCACCGAGGACAGGGCACGCCAAAGCCCCACTCCCCATTTTAGCCATGCTGTACCCCTCATTAGCCTAATGGTTAATGTTCAGCAGTCTTTTGCGTATTTCTGCTTCTGAGCACCCTATTTCTCTTTGCCATTTGAGTGATTCTTTAAAACCCAATTGGTTCAAGAACAGTCATAGATTAATTTGGTACTTTTAAAAAAGTATTTATCAAATGAACAGCAAGCAGACACACAAAAAATAGTATTGTATTTCTGAGTATCTTTTTCTATTTCTTTTGCTCTTAAAAACTTTAAGAGCTTTTAAGTTAGCTTGCCAAAAATCCTTTATCCAAAATTTAATTAAAAAATTGAAAGACGATCAGGCACTATTCCTCGTCTTGTAAAATGCATGGGGTCTTTAAGCCAGCAATTCTGAATTTAAAACATCTCTCCTGCAGATGTAGTCATGTATGTGTGCTAAGACAAAGACATTCATTTAAGCGATGCAGCCAGGGGTGAGTAAGCCAGCAATTCTGAATTAAAAAAATCTCTCCTGCAGATGTAGTCATGTATGTGTGCTAAGACAAAGACATTCATTTAAGCAATGCAGCCAGGGGTGAGCAGCGGAGATCACTTTTTTCTCTTCCCTTTTTTGTATTCTTTAAAATTTTTTAGCAAGGTATATGTGTTATCTTTTCCAAAAATTAAAACAAAATAAAACTTACACTTTCATTCTTAGGATATATGTCAGGACTTGCAAAAAGAGGGTTCAATTTCAGGTGATGGAGTCCCCGATAGCATACTTGCACTGGCCAAATCTCTTTGAAGGCAGTTGGTTTAGGTGGGCTGAGTTATTTTCTGAGAAGGGTTGGGGGCAAACCAGACCCCTGCCCACAACCCACTTCCTGCCCCAGGTTTCAGGGCTGACAAGCTCCTCCCCAGGGCAGAAATGTTACCTGTTTGTAATCCTTCCAGTTCCGTTGGAAATTCATGCTGCCATTCTCACGGCGCTGGATGAGGGTCCACCCACCTCCACTGGCCTCCATGTCACAGAATACCTGGAGGAAATTGGGGAGGTGGGAAGTTGGAAGCCCCAGGAGGCAGCCAGAAGCCAGGTCTGGGCCAGCCCGAGGGTGATTTGGCTGACAGAACCTCACAGAGCAACAGGTGAGCTTGGTGGTCCAGGGCCTCCCAAGGATCCAGGTCCGAATCCCCCACCCGTTGTCTTCATTTGTCTGAAACGGTGGGCAAGTGATGTCCTCCCGGAGCCTTCTTTTCCTCAGTTGTAAAATGGGGATGTTAATACCTTAACCTTTTTGTGCCTCAGTGTCTCATCTGCACACTGGGATTGTTGTGAAAATTAAATGAGATGAGTCATCCACCAAAAGAACAGAGCCTTTCACTCGCTATTATTGCAGGGTTGCTGTAAGAATTAAATGCCAAGAGATGTAAAGTGCTTGGCACATGGTGTAGACTCAGGAAATGTTATTACAGGGGTTCCCTGGTGGCCTAATGGTTAGGATTCTGTGCTTTCATTGTGGAAGCCCAGGTTCGATCCCTGGTTGGGAAACCATCCTGCATGCCGGGCGGCATAGCCAAAATACAAAAAAAAAAAAAAGGAAATGTTATCACATTCAGCAGATAAATGTTTTCTGAGCATTTATTAGGTGCCAGGTTCCATTCAAGGCATGGGGAATGCCCATATGGATAAGACAGAATGATTCTTTCTTTCAAACAGCTTACCATCCACCACAATCACATCTTTCAGTTTAACTTTTGTTCACATATTATTTTTTCCAGCCAGCTCAGTACATTTCAATGTTTGATGAGGAAACACTTGGTGCCTGCCCCTGTACTAGGTGAATCAGAGACAAATCAGAGATAAATTAACCCCCAGGGCTGGCTTGGTCTGGAGGAGGCTAGCAGACTGATAGGGCTAGGTCTGATAGGGCTAGCAGACTATTGAATAGGAACATTTGGGCAGCTACAAAGAGAGTTCCTAAGAAGGAGTCATGGGGCAATCCTGGAAAGCTTCCCAGGGGAGGTGGCATTGGAACAAGGCTTTGGATGATGATATGCCTGCCAGACAGAGATCAGTGGGAATAGTGTTTCCAGTGGAGGGAGCAGGAGTAAAGGCTCTGAGATGGTGAAGGTCTGCTCAGGGAGAGAAGACAGTGGCATCTGTTGTGAGGGTAGCAGAAGTTGCAGGAAGGGAAACTGAGGCCCAGAGAAGGGAAGGGACTTGCTCAAGGCAAATGAGTCAAAAGTAAAGCTGAGGTTTGAGCCCAGATCTCTTGCCTCCCAGGCCAGCTCTTCCCTCTCTATCAGTGTTCCCAAATTTTAGTTATTCATGCCTTCCCAAATTCCACCATAGCTGAACTAATTTCATATAAAATATTTACTTTAAAACTGGTATCTTTCGGGCTTCTCTGGTGGCACAGTGGTTGAGAGTCTGCCTGCTGATGCAGGGGACATGGGTTCGTGCCCCGATCCGGGAAGATCCCACATGCCGCGGAGCGGCAGGGCCCGTGAACCATGGCCGCTGAGCCTGCACGTCCGGAGCCTGTGCTCCACAATGGGAGAGGCCACAACAGTGAGAGGCCCGCGTACCGCAAAACAAAAACAAAAACAAAAACAAAAACAAAAAACAAAAAAAAAAACCTGGTATCTTTCATAGAGAATGGACTTGAGGATACGGGGAGTGGGAAGGGTAAGCTGGGACGAAGTGAGAGAGTGGCATGGACATATATACACTACCAAACGTAAGGTAGATAGCTAGTGGGAAGCAGCTGCATAGCACAGGGAGATCAGCTCAGTGCTTTGTGACCACCTAGAGGGGTGAGATAGGGAGGGTGGGAGGGAGACGCAAGAGGGAGGAGATATGGGGATGTATGTATATGTATAGCTGATTCACTGTGTTATACAGCAGAAACTAACACACCATTGTAAAGCAATTATACTCCAATAAAGATGTTAAAAAAAATGGTGTCTTTTTTTTTTTTACTTAAATAAATACTCAGACTAAATGCATCTTAAAAGGAAATCTTATTAGTACCATAGAGGGAAAATTAGTAACACTTGCTTTTATTCAGATAATTGTAAAAATATATATAATGAAAACAAAATAGTGCTAGAAAATTCTAGCTAGAGATTGAGGGCCTGATCTCTCTTTGTTAAAAGGGGGATTTAGCAGGTGTGTGAGAACTGTTGAAGATAATCTGAGCCATCCTCCTTGATATATTCAGCTGGGTTGAAAGAAAACTGAAAAGGGAATATGAAGTGGGAAGACTGGCTAGTTGTTCTCCAAACTCTTCCACTTCTGGGCCTGGCCCCCAAACCCTCCCTCCTGACATCCACATTTTCCCTTGACTGCCCTCCCCCCACACATCTGATAACTGGGCCTCAAAGTTCTGGGTAAGCTTGGGAGCCACCCAGTGAAGACGGTGGAGCTTCCATCGGCCCCAGTCTCTAATTTCCCACATAAAGCAAGCTCCCACACCTACCTTCAGCTGGACTGTAGGTAGATTAGAAATAAACTTCTTTGTGTTAAGCCCCTGGAACTGAAATTCTTGCCGGTTTGTTTGCTGTATCAGCCAGCATTATCTGAACCAACACAGAACCATTTATTGCTATTCCAACTTAAAAGCATCCCAGGAAAACACGCTGGAGAAGGATGCATTGCCAGCTTTGGGAACTTCTGCTTTAACCGCATGATCTGACCCCTGAACGAGTGGGGGCTCCAGAGGGTAGGGTCACCCCCACCTTCTCTGGAATCTCAGCTGTTGGACAAGGCCTGGAGGTGACGTTGGTGGGGGCAGGGCGGGGTGGGGTGGAGGGCTGTCTGCGGGTCTTCTGGCTCAGCACCCTCTGACAGCCTCAGCCCTCCGGGAGCCCCCTAACCTTTCTGGGCTCTGTCACATTGGCCACATAGATGGTGTAGATGCCACTGGCATTGGCTCCGGAGCGCTGGATCTCTGCACAGTCCTGGAACACCTGCTCGGCTGCCCTCATGGAGGCTGCAATGGGACAAGGTAAAAACAATTGGAAGTGAGCTCAGGAGAGAGGGAAGGGGTCAGGTGGGCACTCCCGTCTGCTCTGTGCCAGGTTCTGGGCTGGGAGGCGTTGGGGATAGGGAGAGGTAGTGGACCCTGGAAGGTTTCGTAGAGGAGCTGACAGTGAGCTGGGGCCTGGATGAGGAGCAGAGGCCACCCAGGTGGAGAAGGGGCGAGTGTCTCAGGCAGAGGGAACAGCATATGCACGGGCTCCAAGGCGGGAAGAGTCCTGTGTGCAGGGATCGGGGTGAGGTGAGGGGAATCTGGCTGAGGCCACAAAGAGGAGATGACTCCCACCCAAATCCAGAGCTAAGGCCAGAGGGAGCTCTGGCTGTTTGATGGACCAGAGAGCAACATTAAGGAAGGAGAGATGAGGCTGAGATTTCAGCCTTGAATGCCAGGCTGAGGAGCCCAGACTGTGCAGAAGAAGAGCCCTCTGGCCAGAGGATAGAACAGAGATTGGAGGGGATGAGACTCAAAGCAGGAAGGGCAGAGATGAGGCTGCTAGAGTCTTCCAGGACAGGTAATTGGGGCTTGAACTCCACTGAGGTACTTCCGCATTTCACAGACTAGGACACTGAGGCCCAAAAGTGAGGTAACTGGCTCAAGGCCACACAGCTGGGTCGGGTGGGAGGGGTTGGGCAGGGCTTTCCCTCTCTCCAGGTCTTAGGGGGGATTTGTCCTTGGAGCTCTCTCGGGTAGGAGACCCAGGGTCCCCTCCACAGCCCACTCTACCAGCTGGATATCCCTGCAGCTCTTAGGTGGGTCCCCCTCATTATGCCCTCCCTGGGAGCTGACCTCTGGCCTTAAGGGAGAATATTAATTTAATGGCCAAATCCCACCAGGGCCCTGGAGGCCTTCAGGCTTAACCTGAAAAAAGTGACTGTTGGTAAATAAACTACAGAGGTTTCAAACACCCTCTCTGGCTCCTTTTTTGGGATCCAATTAGAGGTTTGGGCTATGATTCCACCAGAAACCAATCTGTGGGTAGGTGGGTATCCAAGGATAGGGCTAAAGTTCCAGATGGATAGGTATCCTGACCAGTGAGGAACCAGGAAGCTACCAAGGGGTGGGACTTCCTGTTTTGGCCTCATTCTTGAACCTGGATCCTGGGTCCTGGAGCTGAGGCCCTGTTGAAATAAGGCTGTTATTCCCAGATCACAAAGGCCCCAAATCCATCCCAGTCTGTGCACAAACATTCCCTGGGCAGGGTCTCCACGGCCCCGTCTGCCAGCCCCCTGGTCCCTGAGGAACTGGAGTCTAGCCAAGCCTGGTAGGCTGCTGGCCTAGAGGCGAGCTGGGACAGGCCCAACCTTCCCAGCTAGGCAAGGGCAGAGCTAGGAGTTGGCCTCAGATTTCCAGCCACTCTTCTCAGGGTCTGTCCACTATTGTTTTCCTTAGTCAACAACAATAGCCTTAACACAATCATAGCAATAAAAGTGAAATACCCACCATGCATTGTAGTGTTTCTTAGCCAGGTACTGTCAGGGGCAGTCTGGGGCCAGGAAAAGTATTTTCAGGGAGCATAAGAGCAAGGATGGACCAGTAGTGACATGCAACATAGTCTGGCCTCAGCCTGGACCCCGCTTAATCTTTGTACCAGCTTCACCCCCTTTGGCCCTAGGCACCATGCTCAGCCCCTTCGTGTGTATGAACTCATCTGATGCTCTGTGCCAGAACTCTGAGAGATAGGAGCTATTATTATTCCCATTTTATAGGTGAGGAAAGTCAAGGCTCTGAGATGTTAAATGACCTGTGCAAAGTGCCAGTGCTAGTAAGTGAAGGAGCCAGAGCTTGAACTCTGGTCCATTTGACTGGAGAGCCAGTACCTTTCCTACTACCCACCTCCCCTTGGGTCTCCACCACTGAGCCCATACAAGGTTGGACAAACAGACCTCGTTAACGAATGCTGCTTCTGATGCCATGCATGGGTTAGGTCTTTTCTACCTGTGCCCCCGTCCTTCTAACCTTCTGAATGCCCTGAGTTCTCCACCCCTTGCCAGCCTCCACCTGCCTAGGACAAAGCTGTGCAGAGAGGGGGTGCAGGCTTCCTGCTGGCCTTCATGGATGCCTGGTTCCTGTGCCCGTCTCCATCCAATCTTCTGTTCTACACCTGGTGACTAATCTTCCTCCAGTTTCTCCATCTAGACAGTAGGGAGAAACAACCCGTAGTGCCTCTCCCTGGTGACAGTGGGGCAGGACAGGCGTTTGGTCAAAGGGGGCCTGAGGCAAAGTCCCCTATACAACCTCTCACCCAGACTGGTGAGCAGACATTGGGCCACAGCTGGAGACTGAGTTAGCGGTGAGCCTGTGGGGAGAAGTGTTGGGCCCAGGCCCCGTGCCTTTGCTACAGGATTAATTTAGGCAGCCTCATTGCTATGGCTCTATGCACAAGCCAGTGATGGGTTCGGGTCACTCCTAATCTCATGGTTTGGAAGGTGTTCACCTCTCTTGCCTGTGGCCACCTCAGGCCTCACACCTCTATCTGGTGGGACCTGCCCAACTTAGATGGAGCCATGGTGCCATCCTCTGTCTCTAAATCCCTGCCACCCATAGTGTCTGGAATCCATCACTATTGCTTTTTGGTTTTTTTGGGCTGCATTGGGTCTTCGTCGCTGCGCGCGGGCTTTCTCTAGTTGTGGCAAGCGGGGGGCTACTCTTCCTTGTGGGGCGTGGGCTTCTCATTGCGGTGGCTTCTCTTACTGTGGAGCACGGGCTCTAGGCACGTGGGCTTCAGTGGTTGCAGCACGGGCTTAGTTGCCCCACGGTATGTGGGATCTTCCCGGAGGACCAGGGATCGAACCCATGTCCCCTGCATTGGCAGGCGGATTCTTAACCACTGGAAACTTCAGGAACACTGCTAGCAGGGCATCTAGCACATAGTAGGCACTTAACAAATATGTATTTCCTCCTCCTTCCCTCAGAGACCCACAGACGGGGGTTGGGCATCTTTTGCAAGAGACAGTTGTGGAACTCTGCTGTTCACGGCTGTATCCGCAGCACCCAGCACCGGGTCTGGCGCAGTAAGTGCTTGTTGACTGAGTGACTGAAGCTGGAACTGAGTGATTGAAGTCGGTCCCATTAGAAGTGAGGGCTGGGGAGCGGGGCCGGCCATTGTCCTCCTTTCTCAGAAGCCTGGGCCACAGGTGCCTCCCCACTTCTGTTTGGCCCTCTAGGGCTTAGGGGCAGGGGGCATTAGGGTGAGAGAAGTCCTTGGGAGGCATTGAGTCCAACCTCTCCATTCTGCAGATAGGGAAACTGAGGCTTGGGGAGGGGGGCAAGCCCAAGCAAGTGAGGATGGAGGGTGGATCCTGGACCCCGGACTCCTCAGTCTGGGCTGGTGGTATCCTTCTTATTATCATCACCTCCATTAAACGCATGGGGAAACGAACGCCGGTCAAGGTCACACGTGGAGTCGGGGCAAGAGTCTGGATTGGTTCCTCTTAGGACTGTTGTCGTCACCGTTATTACTACTGTTTGGTGTTATTCCTGTTTCATAGGTGGGGGCGGGGGGTGTTCTTTCCCGAGGTAGCTTCCAGGACTGGCGTGAACCGGGAGGGTAAGCGGGGTCTCCCACCCCTCTCCTCTCCTCCTCCCGCACCTGGCGGGCCCCCTTTGCTCACCCGGGCTCTGGGCCACGACGCGCACCAGGCGCTGCACCGACTCCAGCAGCTGGCTCTGCTGGCGCTGCAGGAGGCTGGAGTTGCTGCTGGCGGCGCGCAGGCTGCGCTCAAGGCCGGCGAGGGCGCCGCTCTGGCGGCCCAGTAGGCGCCGCAGCCGCTCCTTCTCGCCGCGGAGGCTGGCCAGCTCCGCCTGCTGCTGCGTCTCCAGGGCCTGCACCCGCGTCTCCAGCGCGCTGCGGGGCGGGGGCGCACAGGCGTGAACCCGCCGTCCCCACCTTGCAGTCACACTCACGGGCTTTCCCCTGGGCCCGGGGGTGAGACTCAGACCCGCACTGAGGCTCAGAGCGGTAGCGTCCCGCCCAGGGTTACACAGCCCGGAGGTCCGTGCCCACAGATAGCACAGAGTGAGGAGGGGAGGAAAGAGAGACCTGGCATTGGAGTAAAATGGATTGCAGTCCAGTAGAGGAAAGAGGTGGGGTGGGAGGGACACAGCAGCAACCTGGTAGCCATTATCAAATCCCAAATATGCGTGCCCTTTGACCTAGCAGTCCACTTACCAGAGATAACCTCCAGGGAGCATGGGCATGAATGCCCTTTGGAGGATGGGTTGTAATAGGGAAAAACAAAACAGCCAAAATGCCAACGGCCAGGACTGGCTGAGTCTGTTCTGTTCTGGTGTCCCTGGAAATGTTCTGGAGTGGTGAAGGGGAAGGAGGCCGAGAGCATTTGCGCAGAATTGGAAAGATGCCGGGGACTTGGAGTGGGCGCCCTGGCGCATCAGTACCTCTAGTCTAACCCCACGTGTGGGAAATTAAAAGAGAAAGAAAAAGGTATTAATGTAAATGTAGAGGGATACTGGGGAGCTTATAGGAAAAGGCGTGGATGGACACGTGGAAGGACATAGTGGCGCCTGTGTTTCTAGCGAATGTGAAAGAAAATCCACTAAGTGCTGTTACTTCTGCAGAGCAGGTTTGAGCAGATGGGGGTGGAGAGGAGGGGGGGGTGTGGAGGGGACTGACCTTCCCTTTCATTCTGCACAGGTCTCTATTGTCTGATAAGTAAGACTGTCTAATGAGCATGAGGCATTTTTGTAATGAGTTTAAAAAAAAAGTCTTAAAAAAGAAAGAGGCTTTTGACTCAGCTCTTGCACTTTTGGCATTTTATCCTAGAGATTTGCTCACATGTGTGTGCAATAAGATATGGGAATGTTATTCATAGCATCACTGGTTGGAATCGTAAAAGACTGGAACAACCTCAATACCCATTAATTGGGGACTGGGAAATAAATGTGGGGACAGTCATACAGTGAAACATTATGCAGCTGGAGGAAAGAACGGGCAAGTGTGTCATGCAGTTACGGAACCATCTCTAGGATAACTGAAAAAACGAGACAAAAAACCAACGTGCCGAGGAGTAGTCTGCTTCACTTGGGTTTAAAAAGGGACTGTGCATACCTATTTGCCTCTGCTGTGGGTGGGTGGGTGGCTGAGGGATAGGGGTAGGAAGGAGATGTTTTCCTATACATGAGGCTATGCCAACCCATTCTGCAGACTAAGAAAATGAGTCCAGCCAGGGCAGGAGGAATTTTCCCTGGACCCCAAATTATGCCGCAGGAAAAGAGAGAATTTGGGCACACTGGATTCTAGAATTTTAGCTGTCTCCATGGGCCAAGAGCTTATGGATCATATCCTCCATCTTCACTGGTCTCTAGGCACTTGGTAATTCAATTCAGAGTGATTGATAGTGTCCCAGTCCTTCCCCTCTCAGGGTGGAGAGTAAGAATAAGAAATTACACAAACTATCATTAACGGTCCTCAGGTCACAGGGAGCTGGAAGACCTTTATGCCTTTTCTTTTCTTTTTTTTTTTTTTTTTTGCGGTACGAGGGCCTCTCACTGTTGTGGTCTCTCCCGTTGTGGAGCACGGGCTCCGGACGCGCAAGCTCAGCGGCCATGGCTCACGGGCCCAGCCGCTCTGCGGCATGTGGGATCTTCCCGGACCGGGGAACGAACCCGTGTCCCCTGCATCGGCAGGCGGACCCTCAACCACTGCGCCACCAGGGAAGCCCCTTATGCCTTATCTTGACCCAGCATGTGAGCAACAGTAACATCTCGCCCTGTACACAGGCTTGTGGCTGCTTCAGTGCCTCCTCCAGCAGCCAGACCTTGGCAGTGTTTTCTCTACTCAGCTCGAAACCAAGACGAAATCAGCTTCAGAGGTCCATGTCTCTCTGCCTTATCTGTACCCCAGGACTCTTTCTTTCTTTGTAATTTAAAGGGTGTTCCCCTTGTGTGTCTTTGCTTATAAATGCAGAGACTGTCTGCTAATGCAGAAAAGAAACTGGTCACTGTGGTTGCTTCTGGGAAGGAGAGTTGGTAGATGAGATCAGATTTATTTGTTTGCAAATAAGTAAATCAAATTAAAATGTACAGGGTGAATTAAAACGTACAGGGTGAATTGTATGGTGTGTAAATGGTAGTTCAATAAAGCTGTTAAAAATTCATGAAATAAATAAAGGAAGAAAGAAAAGAAGGGAAGAAAGAGAGAGGGAGAGAGAGAGGGAAAGATAGAAAGAACAGAGAAAGAATCAGCGTGTCCTGAGCCCCAGGAAAATGCCTGTCCCCTGTCCCACCCAGGACGGGATAGCCAGGCCCCATGCCTGCCTGGCCGCCAGCCCCAGGGTCCACATTCACTCTCGGCTTCAGTCTGATCCCCAGCCCTGGTTTCAGTCTTTCCCCCAGCCCTGGTCACTAGGGCTCCAGGCCTAGTCCCCCAAGTGTCCCCTCACTCCAGTCTTAATCCGGGCCCCTAGCTCTGGCTCTACCCCCCAGCCCAGGCACTAGCCCAAGTCCAACTTCCGACCTCGGCCCCGGCCCGAGCCCAACCCTGGCTGGCTCTGGTGCTCACCCTTGGTCTCAAGCCCACTTGGGTCCCAGCTGGCCCTGGCCCTCAGCCCTGCTCCCAGCCCTTGTCCCTGTCCAGTGCCAGGGTGCCAGTGCCCACCTGTTGTGGCCCTGCAGCCGGTGGAGCTCGTGGCCCTGCAGCAGCAGCTGCCTCTCCAGCTTGTTGGTGGACAGTGACGTCTCCAGAAGCTGGATCTCCATTCTCGATGTCTGGTTCAGGACCTGCCCCGGTGAGTGGGGGGTGGGGGGAGGTGGGGGCCCATGTAAGGCCTGCAGGAGCCCTGCCAGCAGCCAAACACCTGACCTTGGGCCCTGCCATTCCAGAAACTTGCTGACCTATTTCCACCTTCGCAGTATTTTCTCACTCGCTCACAGACCCTAACTGAGCTTATGATCTGGTTCTTAAATTTACTCTTTCCCGTCACTGCATGGCAGTTCCATTCCTCCTGCTGCTCGGACCCCAGCAGGGGTCAGCTTTGACCCACCCCCCCATATCTAATCCATCAGCAGGTCCCATCAGCTCCGCCTTCCAAATGGGTACCTGACCACTTCCCTGCGCTTCCCCGCCCCAACTCAGGCCCCGGCCTCCATCTCCCGCCGTACCCGGGCCAGCCTACTCACAGGGCTCTCCGCTCCTGCCCTTGCTTCCTGCAGCCCTTGGCTGCTTGGTAGTCTGAGGTAGACTTAAAAAGCAGCCCCTATGCTCTCCCTGCGGCTCCCACCTCACACGGCAGTGGCCTGCGAAGCCCTGTGATGCCATCTGCCCCCATCACCTGTCTGAGCCCACTAGTCTCCCTGGGTCACTCCAGCCATACCGGCCTCCCTGATGCTCCTGGAGCTTGCCAGCACCGTTCCACCCCTGGGCCTTTGCAGATACCATTCTCCCGGTCGGGAAGGTTCTCCCAGTAAGCCTGGCTCCAATCCTACCCTCCCAGTGGTGCCTTCCTGGCCGTACTGTCTAAACTTGCAACTCACCCCTCCCGCCACTCCCGGCACACACTCCCCACTGATCTCGTCCATGCTACTTTCTCCCTAGTGCTACCACCGTCTCACACACGTATGTTATTTATCCTGTTTGTTTTCTTGGTGCTCATTAGAAAGGAAGCTTCATGGGGGTAAGGCTCCACGCCTGTTTTGTTTACTGCTGTAAACTAGAACCAGGCCCATCCAACAGTGCCTGGTACATAGTAGGGTTTAACAAACATGTGCCCATTTGTCAGTGTCTTTTCAGCCATTCACTTACCCTCTCATTTATACTCCTGTCCTCTCCTTCCCTCTCCGCTGCTCCCTGTGGCCTCCTCTTTCAGAGTCACTGGCCCCCTGAGTTCTAATGAATTGTTTATTATCCGCCTTCCCCTGGAGCACTGTGAGTCCTCTGGGGGGTGTGTGCTGCGGCATCCCCTCATCCCAGTGCCCAGCACGGACCCGGACACTGGAGTCACAGAGGCAGAAGAGACACACCCAGTGTCTGCCCTCCCCCCTCTCCCTACCCTGGGCTCATGGCCTGGTGGGAGAACGTTTTGTAACGGGGTCATCAGGGAGGAGCCCAGGAGGCTACAGGGTCAGAGGAGGCCCTGACCTCACCCAGGGACAGGGGTCAGGGCAAGATGACTGGGGCTGTGAGCCAGCCTGGCCTGCCACAGGCCCCCCAGTGCTGCCCCCTCACCCTCCGGTACCTGAGCCTCCACGTCGGTCAGCTTGCGGGTCTGGGCGGTGGTCTGGTTCAGGAGGCTGGTGCCCAGCTCCAGCATGGTGGCTGTCTGGTTCTGGACCATGTGCTGCTGGGCCTGCGCCAGCTCCAGCCTCAGGTTCATCTGGATGTACCTTTCTAGCTGTGGGGAGACAGACGGTGGGCTGGGGTCATGGGTAGGGCCTGGGGGAAGGCTCCTGTCCCTTCCATATATCCCCATGGAAGGACATAGAGCAACCAGGGGCATCCTCCACTCAGCAGCCAGAGGGATCCTGTTAAACCTAAGTCAAATCACATTTCTCCTCTGCTCAAAACCCTCCCAGGGTTCCTGTCTCACTCAGAGGGAAAGCCAAAATCCTCTCTGACTGCAGGTTCTTTCATGACCTGGCCTCCTGCTACCACTCTGATTTCCTCTCCTTGCCTTCTCTCCCTCGCTCAGCTCCAGACACACTGGCCTCTGTAACACCCTTCCAACAGAGCAAGCACACAACCACCTCAGGGCCTTTGCACATGCTGTTCCCTCTGTGTGGATCCTGCCCACTCACACACCATCTACGAGGCTCACTCCTTCATGTCATTTCAGGTCTCTTCCTACCACTTATCACTCCCTGACTTCGTATTACATATTTATCTGTTTATTGACTTTTAAAATTTACCCTTGGAATGTCAGTGCCATGAAGCAAGGGGCTTTGACTTGCTTTATCTCCATATCTAGCACAATGCTTAGCTTACAGTGGGTGCTCAAAAAAAATGTGTTCAATGAGTCGATGAAAAGGGGAAGCAGCAAGGGTCAGAGCATAGTGCCCAGTGTCATGCCCGTTACCCAGCTTCCTAGGGCTGAGTCAGTAGCAGGAAGTGGGGATGCATCTTTCCCCGTACAAGAGTTTGCAGGTCCATCAACCAAGCCGGACTTTCTATTTTCTGGCCCCCTCCATCTGTGAAATGGAGCTGAACTGGCCAGTCTCCAAGGGTTCTCCCAGCTCAGATGTTTTGGGATCTGACAAGCTAATGTTCATTTCTTTGACAGGGCAGCTCTCTTTCCCAAGAGCAGGAGAAAACTGGTGTGGTGTGAGACCAGGATCAAATTGCAAAGGTGAACAGCATGTTCTCAGGGCTCAGTGCCTGAAGGCAGAGAGCCGGTGCCCCTCCTCCACTCCCTCTCCATTTGGCACACTTGCTGGCCTCTTGCCACAGTCTCTATCCCTCAGCCCTGGCTCCTTCCCTTCTCCTGTCAGTCTTCCAGGAGGTCCAAAAGGGCAGCTCCCAGGGTCCCTGAGAAGACTGGTGCTTCCAAGAGAGAGGCAGTGACCTTGGCTGGGGGTCAGGTTCCAGCTGCTTCTTCCTTAGTCTCTTCCATCTCAAGTGTCTGCTCCCACACCTTCCTCCCTTGAGTGCTTTAGAAGGGGCATGGTCCATTGTAGTGCAATGTTAAATCCTGAAGGGGGCGCAAGTGGTGTCGATTAGAGCAGTGGTTCTAAACTTGTAGTCCTTGTGGCAGCGTCGCTAGTGAGCTTGTGAGAAATGCAAGTTTCTAGGCCCCACTCCAGACCTACTGAATCAGAAATTCTGCGGAGAGGCCCAGCCAGCTGATGCTCGCTTAAGTGTGAGAACCCGTGGTGCAGAGGTCACAAAGGGGACTTGAGGACCAGGGAGACAAGTACATCCGAGCTTCTCAAGCCTTTGTCCCTTTGGCCCCTTCTTTCCTCCTCTGCACCATCAGCACCCCACCTCCCCCAGCACACACGTGTGCTCCAAGGGCTCCCAGCTAAAAATTAAAGAAAAAAAAATCCTTGACTCCACAGCCCCCTCTATCTGTGTCTCCAGTTTCTCTGCTCCCCCAAACAACAACACTTCTTGAACAAGTTGTCTCCATTTTCACCTCCATTCCCACGCTCACCTTTTCATTTTTTTATTTTTAATAAATAAATAACTAAATTAATTTTGGGGCTGTGGCATGCGGGATCTTTGTTCCCCAACCAGGGATCACCCTTGCCCCCTGCAGTGGAAGCATGGAGTCTTAACCACTGGACCACCAGGAAGTCCCCACCTTTAAAAAAAATTAATAATATTATTATGGTGTACTTTACGCACACACACAAAAGCGTAAAGAATAGTACATTAAAATGTGTGTATTTACCACACTCAAGAAAAAAATGCAATCCGTATTGTTGAATCCTGTGCACCCGCCGACCTATCCCCAGCCCCAGGAGCCCCTTCACTCTTTAACGCACCTTGTTATAACCCTCCTTGACAAGCGAGGGTCAGGGGACACTTCTGTGCCCTCAGCTTACTCTCCACCTCAGCAGCAGTCGACCCATATGGCCGCTCCCTTTTTCTGGAAGTATTTCCCAGATGTACGCTCCTTGAGTTTTCCTTCTCCCCTCCTCCGTCCTTTGCCCTCCCCTCCCATCACCCCCTCTCTGAGTCCTCCTTTTTCAGGCTTCTTAGGGAGCTCTCATGAGCCCCATCCTGGGCCCTCGTCAAGGGTGTTTACGTTCTCTCCCTAGGTCAAGGGTGCTTAATGGGGGACCACAGGGCCTGTGAAGAGAATTTAGGGGGTCCATGAACTTGGATGAGAGAAAAATTACATATCTGTTCACTAACCTGTAATTAAAATTTGGTATTTCCTTCAATTATGAGCATAGGCCCCAAATCATAGCACTGTTAGTTGACTGTACAACTTCATTACCAATAGAAATCGTAAGTATTTTCACATCACAGCACCGATGTTACATTATCTTAAAATATGATAGTGATCATCACTTCAGAAGGACAGACATTCTCAAACCCACCACTGGATAATGTGACAACTATGGCACAGATTTAATTTTTAATGTTTTGATTATAATCACATTATCACTGGGTGTTCTTAGGCTTTTATTTTATGCATTTAAAAGTAATATTCTGGGGCCTCCCTGGCGGGGCAGTGGTTGGGAGTCCGCCTGCCGATGCAGGGGACGTGGGTTCATGCCCCAGTCCGGGAAGATCCCACATGCCGCGGAGCGGCTGGGCCCGTGAGCCGTGGCCGCTGAGCCTGCGCGTCCGGAGCCTGTGCTCCACGGCGAGAGAGGCCACAGCGGTGAGAGGCCCACGTGCCGCAAAAAAAAAAACAAAACAAAAAAGTAGTAGTCTGAAAAAGGGTCCATAAACTCCCCCCAGGACCAGATGGCAAAGTGCCCAAGGCCCCAGAGGCATCAGGGTCCCGCCACTCCAGTGGGTCCTAGGATTTCCACATCCCCCTACGTGCTGACTGCGCGGTCTCCGTCCCACCCGGATTTCTCCCCTGAATGTCCCACCAGCTTGCCATCACCACCCGGGCTTCCAAAGGCATCTCAGGCAGAAGCATCCAACATATAGCCCTTGATTCCCCAGCTCCCACAGCACCCCGTCCCTGCCTGTCCACCCCATTCTCCTCCCTCTTTCCCATCACAGTAAATGGCCTCACTCAGTACTTAAGCCCCAAACCCAGACTCCATCCTTGACTCTTTCTGTCACCCACCGCACTCAATCCACTAGCAAGTTCTGGTCACTATGATCCTAATGTGAGTTGCCAATCTGTTCGCTTCCCTGCACCTTGGGCCAGGCTGCCAGCATACCCACAGGTCAGCCTCCCCGCCGTGCCTCTATCAATACTCTGGGGATTCTAACATGTGGCCCAGCGTGCATTCATGTGCACAAGGGTAAGCAGAGCTATACTGAGGCTGCTCTCAGACTATCCCATGTGTCACAAGCCTGGTTTAAAATATAGACTCCCAGGCCCTGAGCTCCTGCTCCACACAAACAGCAAGTTTATTCCTTCCATGAGACCTTCTCAAGCCTCTCCCCCAAGAGTCTCATTTGCAGATGGTCAAACTGAGACCCAGAAGAATTGCCGAAGGTCACCAGCTGGTGGGCTGTGTTCCAAGACTCCTCAGGTCTGCAGAGCAGGGTAGCTTGGGATCCTCTCAAGCGATGGGAGCTCCTTAAGCACTCTTATTAGTCCCCCACTTGTCCTGTGGCTGCCAATGGCTGGGTGGGGCGAAGGCCACCCACAGCTGGGGCCCATCACCCAATTTGCCACGCATGCTCATGGGCCCTAGGATGGGTGATCTGGGCACCGTTCAGCCAGCCCACAGCTCTGGTGACTGATGTCAGCTTGTGTGGTGGGCGCTGGGCCCAGCCTGGGCTCAGGCACCAGCTGGAAGGGTGGAGGAAGGACCCCCATGGAGAAACAGGCCCTGGTGGGATCTGCCACGCCGCCGCCCCCCCCCCCCCCACGCAGGACTGGACCTCCCCATTCTCTGCCACCCTCATGCTGGTAAACTCTCAGGGCTGAGATGGGGGAATGGGGCTCTGAACTCCCACCACCCCTCTGGCCTGCAGAGAGGCTGATCTTTGGCCCTTGAGCTACTCCCTCTCCCCTTGGCCCTGGGTTTGACTTCTGGCTCTGCTACGCTCTAGCTGTGGGCCTCTAGCAGGTGAGGGCTACCTTTCTCTGAGCCTCACTTTACCAACCTCTGCCCGGGGACAGTAAACCCTGCTCCTCGTTGGGGAGGGGGCATTTGAAAAGGGCCTTGAAGGAAAGGAGAGGAGTTTTGACAGGCAGGGGCTGGGGGAGGAAGGAGGCTACCTCGGACACACTAGGGACGAGCATGTAGGCACGAGCAGCCTCAGTGGCCAAGGGGATCTGCTCAAGCCAGCTTTGCTCCTGCATTATCTAAATGAAAAAACTTCAACTGGTAAATGCGTAAACAGCTGTGCTCCATTCATCCAATGAACTCTGCTCAGCAATAAAAAGGAATGAATTACTGACGCATGCGACAGCACGGAGGCATCTCCAATTATGCTGCACGAGAAAAGCCAGACTCAAAAGGCTACATGCTGTAGGATTCTAGTTATATGACTTTCTGGAAAAGTCAGAATTAGTTGTTGTCAGGGGCTAGGGCCCGGGGGTAGGGATTCACAGCAAAGGGACACGGGGGAAATTTTTGGGGTGCTGGCAATATTCTATATCAGGTGATGGTGGTTACACGACTATATACATTTGTCAAAATTCATAGAACTGTACATTAAAAGAGTGAATTTCACCGTATCCACATACTGAGACTATATCTTAACATAAAACAAACCTAGCCACACAAGGTTCTATAAAATGTCCCATAT